TGAGCACAGGGATCTTTTGACTTAAGTCTATAGGTCTATAAGGAAGGGGACAGAACTGATTTCACTGATGAAAAAGTGACTTGTTTCAATGAGGGGAGGGAAAATCCCAACCATGATTTTAGAATGGGTTAGTAGTAGAAGACACTCCTTGTTATCATAATTAAGATTTTTTTTTTTCCCTCCTGTGTTTCTGATGCTTTGCTAAGGGTTTTAGGAATCTTAGACAGAACCCCTACCATTCTGCTTGTGAAGCAATTGCTGAGATGGTGTCGGAGGATGTCCTTCTCGTTTGCTTGGCACTGGCTAGACCTTCAAAAATACTGGTGCTAGAGTCTTTAACTTCAGAAGAACTTGGAGATCTTGAGGAAATTTCAAATGGTAATAGCTAATCCTTCTTGAAAATTATTGAGTGTTCTAAATTTTAAAAAAATTTTTATATATTTTTTTCTTTAAATTTATTTATTTTTTACATTAATTCACTATACATCATTACAGCATACAAATGAATTTTCCATCCAAAATACACTGAATATTGGTTCAATCAAGCACATCAACATACATGTTAACAGCAAATAATTTTCCATTTCTTATGTCTTGTATACTTTGTTTTTTTGTTTTGCCATCCTTGATTCCCTATCCCTCATAGGCCTATCGTTCCTCGCAGTAGCTACATTCCTAACAATCGGGACTCCCTTGCAAGTGACAACAAAAAAAGGGAGGTTGGGGAGGGGAGCGTATGTTGGCTTCTCTAGCTAAACTGCTAGAAGGCCGTGGGCAGAGTGAACTTTATAGAAGACTAGAATCTGAGGCTTGAGTATTCTGAACTTTCCCTCTCTTCACTACATCATTTTTAGACTGATTTCATTCTTGCTTGAGGATTGTAACTAGAACATAAGTTCAATCAGTAGAGGCAGCAGATACGAAGTAGATGTTACTTCCTGTTCATTGTCCGAAGAACAGTGGAAAGGGCTCTTCCTCATCGGCTTCATTTTAATGTATC